TTCAAAAACTAGCCGCATATCACTAAACCACAGTAAATAAAATAAAATAAATGAAGAGTAATTTCAGCCATCACTCATAAGAGACTTATGGAAGTTAGGCATCTCGCTGACTCACTGCATATACAAAGGGCCAAACATGTGTGCACCCCACTCCCAACGTAGCAATGAGAAGCAGCACAGAGCCACACATGGGGGTGCCGCGTTCCAAGGGTCCCCGAGAGGTACAACAGCCACCAGCGTCCACCAGCAGTAACAGTGATAAATTACAGCCACACGTTGACCGTCGGGACAATGACATTGAGCGCTGCCCTAAGTGGAGGAGATGCAGGGACACAACAGTCCTGCTTAGACAGCCAATATTAAATGGAAATGAGGCCCCCCGGTGGGGGGACAGAGCAGTACACAGTGGAGCACTGGGAATTTTGTCGCAGGACAATCAGATTCTCCATGAGCAGCATTTCTAGAGTCAGTGTCAGGTACCAAACTCCACTGTACTCAGGACCCCAACAAAAAGCCAAATATAACTGCTGATTTAATGTTTGAATCACACCTTGATGAGGTTACATGTTACAAAGCAACATCCACGTTACTTCTAGCACTGCGGTGACTAGCCGACAATGACTATCTGGTTCATCAGTATATCGGGAGACCCTGCAAACTTCTCTTTGCCCGTCACCCAGATCAATCTAGCTTGTAATCCCCAGCCGGCTTGCTGCTGATGCATAAAACGCGACATTTCCAAATGGCCGTGCCACAGGAGTGACAGCTGGTTGATTCCCATCCTGTTGCATACAAGCAAGGCGAATAAGCCGCTCTTGCTCAATCCGCTAGAGGATGGGAAGAAGACTGTCTGCAACGGAATATCCCCAATCAATATGTCACAAGCAAAGGTATAAAACTTATAGCACAGACAAGACAGAGGCAACACAGGAGGGTTTTATTCATAGAATAAATTGATTTATTTCTGTTGATCTGTACATTACACAGGAGTACCTGGACTGCAGCAAACACATGAAAAATGATGTTAAAAGGCATGGCTGCTCACATGGTAGAAACATCTCCCAGGACAAGCTGTTCACCCTCACCACCCACCATCATCATCAGAAGGTTCTAGAAAGCTGTAGGAGGGCGCCAGGCAATCACGCACTGGCCAGCACTGGTTCATGGGCCCCAATGACGTGACAATCCCACCTCCCCCCCATCCCACACCAGGGGACAGCACTCACAGATGCAGCCCCGCCCACAAGTCTTCTCCTTAAAAGTGGAAACATACATGTGGAAGAGGGAGACCGTTCCTGCGACACCACTATTGCCCATGACACACAGACACACACACACACACACACACACACACACACAAAGGCAGGCAGACACACACGCGTGCACACTGACACACTCCAAAAGGAGTGGCCTGAAATGGCAACATGGTTACAGCACTTCATGCACAACAAGTTTACAGTTCCGCCAGAACGGGGCTGTCACCCTCTATGCCCCATAATCATTTCCATAACCACTCTATTGTTTTTGTGTACAACATTTTTATTGCTCTCTGGTTCCGTTCTGCCTTTTCTGTGTTGTACAAGGGTTCCTTTTCCATGGGTCCTGTAGATAGCTTTGTCTGGGTTTCAGTAGCACAAAGGGAGGACAAGGGACCAAAACTGGATACGGAAAAAACCATCACATATGCACACAGTTAAATTTATTCCAAGTGTTTTTATGTCAAACTCATCAGAATAAACTTTTACAAGATCACTACTCCCCCCTCCCCCCCCCCAAAAAAAAGGAAGAGAAAATAAAGTGTCACATGACCTAATTCACCTTTGGGCATTCCACTCTCACTTTGGTACGATATTCAGCGTCTCTCCAGGCTCCTAACAGTTGATTATCACAGAGACAGTGCTCACTGACCCCAAAGCTCAGCGGAGCTACCGACTGCCCGCTCACAGCTGAGGACCTCGTCTCAAATCGGACTGCCCAGAGCTGCCCGCGACATAATCTTAACAGGTACTATGCAACAGATATGCACGAAATCGTAATTATTTGGTTTCTTCTTTTAAGACTGGTTCCCTCGTGGCTATTTCAAGTATTTTGTTAATCAGAATAGATGATTTCAGCTTGGAACAAATTTCACTAAATATACCAACTATTCCTCTCCAGGCGTGTATATTTATTATAAAGTACAGTGTTAGAAATAAACTCGTCAGACCGCATCCAACCAATCAATGCTCAAGTGATCTGTGTCAGTCCAATCAATGATGACGACACAATGAGTAAGAATACCAAGTGCGTGCAATTCTGTCAACACGCTGATAAAACTTGCTTAAAATATTTTAATTTTACCAGTTGTGGGGGAAAAAGTAGAAAAAAAGCTAGCACCATATGAGGTAAAAGATACAGTTTAATCCACTGTATGTCCGCTGGTAGCACCGTCAATCAGTAAAAACCACTAACGAACGACACTACTTACACAACATTTTACTAATTGGCTATATTTAAAGGATTGTAGGATAGAGGTTAGCAGACATCTGAAGCAATGGTATTTCTTACCATTAACACATTTTCTAAGCTACTCTAGTAGAAGTTGCCTATGTACACGCCACTGGTGTGTTATGGTTTTAATCAGTTTCTATTTTTCCTCAAAATGAATGTAGACAAGTAGAGCAATGAGGTAGGATGGTGATGAAAGCACTGTAGATAATTCGTGAAAATGGTCAAAGGAGTTCCATTTTACAATCAGCCTCCATTCTGGCTGCTTCACTCCAAAACACATTATGACCACCCCCCGACCCGGGGCAAAGATCACACAAAGGGGCTCTATGTCACAGGAGTGGTGAGGCAGACCTCGAAATCACCCTCAAGCAGTCGTCTTTAGTTTGCTGAAACATTTTGAGTGATAGGGAAATCACAGTTCGGGGTGGGGTCACATGGTGCTAACGCTGGGCAATTTGGTCTGTTGTTCTGACGATTGGTCCTCAGCCTGCGAGTTGCAAAATTTCTAAATCTTAGGAGTATTTTGTCTAGTACAAAAATATATATATCAAACAGTACTTGCAGCAGTATTGACCTAGACATTTGTTTTTGGCATCAAGAAGGACAAAATATAAATAATAATAAAAAATATATATAAAAAGCACAGAATTTGAAGGACTTCTCTGGGATCCACCTAGTTGAGTGGTGCTCACTGCCACCCCTAAAAGCTTCCCACACATTAGATTAAAATGCTCTCCAGGAACCTGCACATTCAGACACAAATTGCAGCATGGGAACAGCCAGAACACATAGAGATACATTAGCTTTAGTGGTAGCCATAGAGTATTTATCCTCATTTAAACTTCCCAAACTATTCAGAAGGGAAAATACATGCAAGTTCAAATTCTGCAAATGTAGCACTTTGCGTTCCACCAAATGCTTTTTGCCAACATTTGATACTTTGGCTTAACATTTTGTCTCATGGGGGCGAAAAACAACCTCTATAGTCAGAACGGATGCGACCAAAAAAGTGCACATACAATAGTCTCAAAGGGCCCTTAGACATCGACAAAACGTCACAGAGACCGTCACCATTTAGGGAAAGAGTTGGATGAGCCTTTTCACAGAGTCTGAAAAAACCTTGAAGAAGAAAAGCAGCCCATCTGCTCCCAACATCCACTGCAGAACATGAGCTCTGTGGCCGCAAAAAGTACCACTGCAGTCTACAGGAATGTATGGGTGTGAAATACCAGCCATCAGCTCCAGCTCCCCCAGTTAGAACTCTACACGGCACACAAAATGGCAGCCACCGCTAACTACAGGAACGCAAGAAGCGATGACTACCACAAGAAAGCAGTAAGGCTTTTATTCAGCTTGTGCACAACTTACGCTCTGTTTCGCGTCCGTGCAACCAACACAGGAGGCTGTATTGTGGTGAACGTGAAGCTTTTACAACTGGTCAGATCCAAAACAAAGTAGCTTACCATTAACAGTAATACGAAAATCCATTTGTGAGCAAACACAATGCGTGTTCCCTTATGCGTCATGATAGCACGCCAGCAGAATTAGCACTCGTCCAGTGTTTCCACCCCCATGACCTCTATCCCAATAAAATGTTCCATCAACCTGCCATCTCAAAATACAAATACGAACCAGAACACCCCCCTCCCCCCCACATGCACACACAGTAAAATATTCATGAACAGATGTAAATATTGTACAGTTCACCACGTGTACATTTGTTTCATTACCTTGACTCGTGTAGGAGGTAAACCGTTTTCATAAAAAGAAAATACATATAATCAAAGGACAACATACTTCTCAATGCCCTCACCCATGTGAACACAGCAAAACCCACCCTAAAATGATTTTGGGATGGCAGATGAGTGAAAGAAGGATGCACACCAACTTTTCAATGGGGGTAGAAAAAAAAAAACACACACGCCCACACAGACACAGACAGACAGACAGACAGACAGAGACAGACAGACAGACAGACAGACACACACACACACACACACACACGCATAAAGGAGCAGCTGACAGAGCTCCTCCCAGGCACCCCAAAGAGGCAGAGCCTCAACCGGAAACAAGCCTCCACACAATTCACTGCCAATTAGGAAAGCACAGCTCAAATGTAGCGGACAGTTATTCTTGCTGGTTTTTTTTGTTCTGATTAAATGGCTGAATGGAAAGGAACAGCATGAGAAAATTGTCTTTGATGTACAGTGCCAAGCCCAGCTAAGTCAAGCTATGGCAACCTAAACCGATTTAAAACCCAGCCTGTAACCGATTACTTAAAAAAACAAAACAAAAAAGGTCTATGTCTTGTTCGCTCTTTCCTTCCTGTATGTGATATTTGGCGGTGATATTCCCTGAACAGACGCTGCCGTGTGCAGAGAGGGAGTGTCTGTTACCATCACCCGACACGAGCCCAAGGCTGCTGACCCAGCACTAAACATCCATTTAAATTCTCCTTTATCAGTTCACTTTCAACTAAAAGCAATCACATGAAAGAAGGGCAATTGTTCTCATCTCCACATATATACATACAATCTATATTTGTGTTTATAAAAAATAGAACATCAAGCTTAAAGCCAACAGTTAAAATGAACGAGAGACTAACCAGTCTGGTAAAAGGTGAAATTACAACATTACCAATTATACTCAGCAAGGTAAGGTGCAACCTAGACTAATATCCAGGATTTCCATGTTTCGTGAGAAGGGAAAATAAAATCAATTTACAAAGAGTAAATCATCTTGGGGGCTGGGAAGTTATCCATAAATAAAAACCAAAACATAACAAAAAGGAAAGAAACCCCTAGACAGACAAACAGGAAAAAAAACACCTGCTGGAATGGCAGAGCTGCAGGCCAATCACAGTTAAAAACATGGTCACAGTTGAGAAACCATTCTGCAGCATTTAGGTTACTGCCGCAGACAGCCGGACAAACCTTTCTCAGAAGATGAAAGAACAAACGAAAAAAACAGAAGCGTAATAAGTTCTGATGGCATGTTTGTTGGAAGTTGTCACTATACCTTATTTCATTCCGGATGGGGCACCCCACAGAGGCGGGTTACAGCAGGGAGGGTGGGTTTTCTGCCCTCCACCCTCCCCCCCCAGCCCCACAGGGAGGAGCACAGCATCTTAGACCGACGACTGTCGACAGCTTTACGTCCATTTCAGCATGGAGCACGCCAACAGTGGACGCTCACACGCCAAAGTGCAGTTCAAGCAATTTCAGCTTACTTTACAATCACAGTTTAGTTTAAAGACAGAACAAGCCCCCCCCCCCCATGATTGCCAAATGAATAAGGCCAAGCTTTCACCTGCATCGCACTAAAATTAAACTGCTAATCAGCACGACGGCTCCGATGAGCAACAGAAAGCTATTTTCACAGTCAGATCTAACAGTAAACTCCAAGGTTTTTTTTTTTTTGTCTCCTCAAGTAGTAAAATTCACAGTTCAAAAAAATGATATGCATATGCATGAATGTTCCTGCTCATGACTGACTAAAAAAAGGCTTGATAATCACTAACCAGAATCCACAAACAAACTCAAAAGCTTACAGGAGCATTAAGGGGTCTAAGAAGAGGGTGATCTGCAATATAATACAAGAGCAAGTGCTAATGGTTGGTCAGAAGATTACAGAGAAACAACACAAACAGTAAACAGACATGTGCAAGCAGGGCCACGTATCCTAGCCTATCAGGGGATAGGACAGGGAGACCTGGGACTTCCCCTTCCAAACACAAATAAAGATTCTCAAAAAATGACAACCTCTAGGGCATTTAGGGCATCTAAAAACAGAGGCGTGGCCTCTATTGATTAAGACATGCAGAGTTACAACCCTGTTCAAAAAAAGAGTACGTCCCTTGACAGGCCTGTGAAAAGTACAGACGGCTGAGACGCAGATCGCACGTGAAAGGTAGCAACCTACGAAACTCCAAACGCCGCATTTGCCCAAATTAATGCTTTTAGAAAGTCTTCCTAAAATCAGAAAACATATTCTGAAGGTGCACCTGCTCTGTAGCTATATAGCACAAAAACGTCACGTTCTGACACAGAACGGCTTGTAGAAGACCACCACGTCCTCCCTCCGGCCCGATTCAAACGCACCAATCCTCTGGCCTGGAAAACACCCCCCCAAACCTCAGTCTCGCGACTCTCGACAACACATTTAACTCCCGAATACGTTAACTGAGTAGTAAAGCTGTCTAACAGGCACCGGTTTGCTTGGGATGCAAAGGCCTCATTGGGGCTCCGGTGAGAATCTCAAATGGCAGCGGTGATGATCCTGTCCACCCTCTTCCTGTTTGGCAGTCCGAGAAGAGGAGGATGAGCTATGGTAACAACCCTTAATCACTACATGCCATCATAGTTGAAATTTTCCATCTTGACCGTTTGTCTAATGAGCAGTTTGGACTCGCGCTTCTCCTCGTTCTTGATGGATTTGTTGATATCCATTATCTTTTCACAAATGTATTTGTTCACTTTTGACAATCTCTGCGTGATCTCCGCACTGTCCGCGGTTTCCTGCGATACTCGGTCGTACAGACATTCTGGAAAGAGAAGAAATCAAGTTTGAAAATCAGATTCATTCAGGAAAACAAATTGGCATATAGAACAGAAATTCCATTCTACGACAAATCTTCAGAAGAAAAATAACTGCATATGTAACATTAAAATGTGCTTGATTACAATCAAAAGTCAACTGACCTTAAAATTCAGGTAATGGAGAAAAAATTTTTCCCTTCATCATCATGATCACTTACTATAATACCTCACCATTAAAAATAAAGCACACAGATATTATTCAGCACTAAATTAACTATAGCACCTTTTAAAGGGAGATTATCCACCAATTCATCTTCTAATTGCTCATCCTGGTCAGGGTTTCAGGGAAGCCTGAAGCCTGTCCCAGACAGCACAGCCCACACAAGGCTGGATAAGATGGCCAGTCCTCACATAGAATCATACTCTCAGTATGGAGACACCAATTACCCTAAATGCATGACTTTGGGAGAACCCAGGGAGAACATGCAAACTCCACACACAAGGAGCAGAAGTGGTATTCAAACCAACACCCCTAAAAGGTGTGAGGTAATAGTTCTACATACTGAGCTACTGTGCTGCCTTCAAGGCAGATTATGAGCTATGTGAATCACCTTCAATAAACACAGAGACAATCTTTACATATTGTTATGCAAGAGATTTGAGCACAGAACCATGTCAGCCAATAAAACCACAAAAAAACCCAAGTGTATTTTAACTTACAAAGCTGCTAGAAATTCTAAATAATTTCACCAACTTCCCGAAATCTGCATATTTTATTTATTTTTTTTACATTTCAATGCTCGGTGTCATCAGTGACAATGAAAACACCAGTAAATATCCTAATGCAACACTATTAATGCAAAACTATATATTTACATATTTAAGATGTTTGTTCTCCACACAGCCTGAGGGAACAACTTAAAATGCACATTTCATGGGAATCATATAAAAAGTTATTAGTAATACTTTTTATTCATTCCAATGAGCACTAACTGCTATGTAATCAGGGAGAATATTTTTTTCCACCATAAAGTAAAATGTACAAGTTTTTATTAACAAAACAAAAAGATCAGAACATCATGAATTTCATTTCAAAACAAAATAAAAAGCCATAGCTGTAAACACACACCTATACGTTAAACATACTGTGTCTATAAACTGTATTCTATGACTTATGAAACATAGAGCAATTCAGTGTTCTGTATTATCATTCATGACTTTTTTGGCAATTTCATTTATTAAACTAATATACATTCTTGCTTATGTTTTGTAAGATTTAAAAAAAAAGGGACCAATTTGAAGTATAATAATTACTGTGTAATATGTGGTGGAGAGAATTCCAAAATACCCTTTGCTGTCAAAGCAGAAAAGGCATTTAAAATGTGTGCATGACAAGGTTTTGGGATTAAACTGACTAATACATTGAAAGGTCTGTACATTAAATCAGTTATTAACAACACAATTGGAAAATCATATTCAACCACTACATAACTGATGTGATTCACCAGCAGGATTGTCCTGCATTATTCTGGGTTATATGGGTGCTTGGAGGAATTTGTGCAAAACAAACAGAACCGTAAATTCACCAATGGTCTACCTCTTTTATAACCATGATCGCAACGATTTTGGAAGGGGTACATCCATTTTAATTAATGACAACAAATTGATCAGTCTCCCAAAATTAAGACCTGAGGAACTAGATTGTAAACTGAAGGAGAAATGCTTTATACAGATGGTCTAGCAGGATTTCAGCAGTCTGCAACTTTAGTGCTAACAGTTACAAAAACAAAACACAGCTAAAGAGTCTGCTATGGCTGGCAATATAAATGTTAATTGTGATTATTAAAGGTAAATTTCCCATTAAAAGGAGGAAAGCACTAAAAGTACTCCCTACATGCACAAAGTGTAATGAAACTAGAAGAGTTAGAGTAACTTTCAACTCTGAACCATCACAGGATGCCATCTTTCCAACATGTCTGCCAAATTTCTGTTCTGCTTGTGAGGTGGAAACTATCTAGGAGCAAGTTGAGTTCTATGGTGGCAAGTCCTGATCAACCAGCATCAACAGCCAACCTGAATGGCAGCAAATCCCACCAACAATCTTACAATAACTAATGAAAGAGCAGAGGCTGCAGTAGCAAGAAAGGGAAAAATTCATGTCAACACCTTTGGTTTTCATATGTTGGAGAAGCTGGTGTCCATATATTTTTGGTAATATACATCGTATGTGGTGCCCACATGGTTCTTAATAACCTTTCCAAATCGCGCACACTACATTTTAATATAAAGAATAAAATCCTGAAAAAGCAACATGGCACTGACTTCCTAAGCTCTTACCTCTACCTTCCCTCATACCCACACTCTGTTCCTCAAACACACATTTATTGTACAGTAGTACAATAAAACCATGGCAACTGGATGCATAACGTTTATTAGCTAGAACAAAACGGAGTGTATTCATGGATTCCATGATCAACTGCTTATCTGAAGAGTTAAAAAAAAAAAAAAACACATACAGTACATTACCTCATGCTTACTGATCCAGACTAATAAATTAAGGTAATAACCTCCAGACCATGACTGAATAAAAGAAAGTAGCAAAGGCAGCAAGTCTTTTTGATTCCCTAAAATGTTAAAAGCTGACCACTGACCTGATTAATAGTCAGATAACCAATAATACGCATCTTATAGTTAACCAAAATACTTTTAGCACCCCTCGGATACGGTCCAGCCTCCCCTTGTCAGCCGGGACCAGCATTTGGGAGATGAATGTACAATATGGTGCTGGTAGCTTTTAGCACATTTTTGATTGTGGGGGGAGGTGACTGGAAAAGACATTACTGTGGAAGAACAGAGCTGAATAATCCCACTGAAAGAGAGTAAAATCGTGGAACTGATTTTTTTAATCATTAACCATGTTAAAACAAAATTTTGTTCCATTCCTCTTTTTTGGGGATTTTTGTCCCCAAGGTAAATGTGTGTTATTCACTTGTTAATGGAAAGATGGGATATTCTCATGAGTTAGGCAAAGCTACATCTGCTTTGCCCTGGGTAACCTATACTTGCACTCCAGTATTAACTGTTCCATAACACCTCACATTCTCAATGCGCCGACACTTTGAGACAGTCAACTAAAGACACTGGTACCCTACCTGTCCCATAATACCAATAAAAATAAAACCAGTCTAGCATTGTTGATTTCTGTATTGATATGCAGGGGGAGCAGTAATCTTGGCCTGAAGTCAGCAGATTCCAGAGTGTGAAATTTCGGTGTTGACTTCCGAAAGAACACACAAATTCCAGTTACTTAGAAGTTGACCATTACCAATACAGTATAAGGAACCAACCAAGCCTTAGATAGTGGTCATTTCTCTGTAATACATTTTAGGAATAAACAAAACAAAAGAGCAAACAAGTGGCTTTACTGGATGATTTTATTAGGGGGCCCCCAATGAAGGGATGCCATTTACCTCTGACGATTTTAAGCTTGCTTGGGGAGAGCGGGGGCTTTGGCAGAGCGTCCTTCTTCTTTTTGGTAGCCACACCCGTGACACTCCTGTTCTTCAGGGTCTCTGTGCCCCAAATCATGACAGCCAGATTTTTGGTGAACTTGGAATCACCCTGTGTTCTCTGAAGCTGGTGCCATTTCTCCTCCTCCACCCAAATGCCTCCACCCAGGTGTACCTGAGGAAACAGCCCCAAAGACTGTCAAATGGAATAAATATGCCTGAAATAACGGGGCAGGTATTCTCAAGTGCGATCCTGTCACAGTATGAACTTAATATTGCCAAAGGGCCGGGAAGGCCTATCAGGGTAATAGGAACGGGGGCATCACTTCATTAGCATGCGGCTCGAGAGCTAAACTCACCAGAAGATAAACAGTGTGTCAGAGGTAAATGCTAACAGCAGCTAGCATGTGTGCCTCTCATCTCCGAGCTCTGCGAGAAGCCCTTTGGCCCTCTTCCTGCTTCCGTTTCTATCTATTGTGCTTAAGGACACAGGCCAGCCATCCTGCTTCTTGGCAGCCTACTTTCATTCCTTGGTTGTCTCCCCTCCCGGCCCGTCTGCCACTCACTGCTGTGGTATAATAAGCCGCCCGGCAACATGCATGTCCCACTTTGTCTTCCTTTCCCACGATTACACAAAATCCTATTCTCTTATATCATGAGCAAAATATAGCAGGCCGGTTACAAAAGGAGATGCTCTTCTAATACGGAAGGAGATCTTAGAGCAGAGCTCTCCGTATTATTTACGAAACATGGTTCCAAGGCCAGAGGAGGGGCTAAAAACAACCAAGACGGAAAATAAAGGAAAAGCACCGTCAGAGCTTTCAGGAAGAGCATGTCAGCAAAGCTAATTCCTGCTGGCAGAGTGTGCAGGCCGGCCATTTACAAACTGGGACATTCACCTTTCCGTCATTGAACGTGTACACCGTCCTGGGGGAGGGCGAATGGGAGTGGCCGGAACTGGTGTTGGCCTCTTCTCTGCAGACCTCCGGGGGCTCAGCAATGGGCTCCATCACTTCGGCCTTGATTGTCTGGGTCCCACTGTCATGCATGGGCTCTGCCCAAAAAAGGGAAACGAGGCATGTTTATGATGGGGTCCCCGGCTGGCCGAGAGCCGGGCTGCGGGTCAGCGTGTGCCGGTGAAGAGCCGCGGCCCTGTGGGCCGACTGGCCGGTGGCGAGGTGCTGCTTCCCATCAACCCTGCTTAAAAATCCCAAGCAAATTCTTATTCATGGCTGAAAAAGGAAAATCCTCCTGCTATTTTAAATATCAATTGAAAAGGCAGCAACATGTCAGAGGATTATCTTTCCCAAAGCTGCAGGTTTAGAGGACATATTTATACCCTGTAAAGCTTTTAGGGCTCATATACTCATTCAGGCCTCGAAAACAAGTGGTATGAACTGGAGTAAACTTCTCATTTTCAATAACAGGTTATTCACAGCCTAACCAGGCGCATCCAAAACCGGTTAACTTTCAGCACATCCTGCCTGCCAACTCTCAGGCGAATGTATCCAGTTAAGATGGGTTTCTCGTATCTGAAGCACATTTTTCCCCCCCCCAACTCCTGCATGTTGCTTTATTTTATAAACCTGCAGTGAAACCGCAGTTTGAAAGTTTCTAACCTTCTGGTACCAGCCAATACCTCATTAGAGCAGTTTTATGCCAGAGATGGTTTTATTTTATGTATACTTACTCAACTTACCATCTTACCAGAAAGACACATAGGAAACAAAAGCACCCGGCCTCCTGTTTCCTAGCTCATATCAGAACTGCTGCCCAGCAGAAGAGCCAAAGAGTTCCCAGGGCAGAGAGCAATACGGGAGTTTATTTTTGCTCCACTGAAGCAGCAGAATCAAAATTCCAGCGGTTTCACCAGTAATTAAGGGCTGAGGACTGTAAGTGCGGCCCTCTCCATAAGACATCCAAGCAGCCCAAAGAGGCCCAATCTACTGCCACATTAAAATCTCATAGGCTGAGGGGGCATTGAACACATCAGCTGGTCCTACACCCCCAGTCTATACCAGCTGATGGCTTCATTTAGCAGCACGGCTCTGGCCGCAGAGCGACTTTCCCTGCGCGAGACCCTGGGCTATTTCAGCCCCGCAAGCTGCCTCAGTGGCCGGACATGCTAATCTCCCGCGTGGCCCGCGAGCTTTAAGACGGGCAAGTGCCACACGCTGCCATCCCCCCATCACTTGGCCTGGCTGATCTGCAGCCTTCTGCTCTCAGCTGCACAATCACACACATTAACCCATCGCAACAATTGCCCTTGTAAGCGGCTCCTGAGGACCGACGCATTTATCACGGAGCCCGACCGTGCCGCCATGCTACTCGGCCCGGCTGCTCACCGCTGCCAAGCCGCATGAGCAGGACGTCCTGCAGCCTCCTGTTGAAGTCACGCAGCTCCTTCACCTCCGTCAGCAGGCTCCCGTACTCCTTCAGCTTCTTGGCCTGCTGCACCAGCTGCCTCCGCGTCCGCTCCAGCTCCTGCTGCAGGTGCCGCATCTCCTCCTCCCTCTGCCGGTAGCTGTGGACCAGTTCCTCGTAAAGCACCCGTGGGACCACCGCCTCCTCGGTACTCAAGTCCCCCTCCTCTTCCTCCTCCTCCTCCTCCTCTGCTCCCAGCCTGTCCTCCTCCTCCAGGTCCTCATCGCCCTCCACGCACAAGCTCACAGCGTTGCGCTCTAATCGGGCCACCACGGCCGCCAAGCTCTTGGAGGAGTTGGCACTGGCTCGCCCATGGTCCTGCACCTAGGCCCAGGAAACAATTGCAAATGTAACAACAGCCGCTCTCTGAAACTTTCACCCGCACTGACTCTGACCTCCGATATTCTGGGGACAGGCAGCTGCTTAATGGCCAATTGGGCGAGCCCATGAGTATACTTGTGTTCCTGTGGTGTCCTGAGCGTCAGCTGAAATGCTGTGTCACAGAATGCATCAAGCAGTACATCAGCATTTTCAAACATTTCAGTCTATTGAACTTCATTGAACCCAGCCACCCAATTAAGCAAGAAGAAAAAGCCCACATCCCAAATGACAATGCCCCACATTCATCTCAGAACAAACTGCTGTTTAGGATGCCCTGCAAAATTATAATACCTTACCTGTGCTTACAAAAATATATGTAATGTAGCTGGCTATTGAGCCATTATCCAATATTGTTATTGTATTTATTTATGACTATCATCATTCGAGTCTGCTGCTGCAAGCCACATTAAAATGAAGGCTATAAAAAGGAAAGAGCGAGAAAAAAGCTTTAATGAGGATGCAATGTTAAATACATCAGACAATACGTAATGTCCTGGAGGCCTGCGACAGACATACTCAAGCTAACATCTCTACAGCCAGACAGAGGCTCCAGACTGAGCTTTGTGCTTTTTATAATATATCACTAGTGACTAATGTCATGCCCTAATGCCTTTGTCATTGTACAGGTAGCAGGATCAGTGCAGGGTCAACCATTTTTCTGCTGTCCCTGGGGCATTTTGGGGGTTAAGGGCCGAAAAGTGACACCATTACACCGGGATTCAATCTGCTGACCTTGAGACTCCTAACCCACTGAGACAGACACATGGTTTGTAGATAATGAGGATTCTGTTAGCTTATTGTTCATTTGCCTCATCTGAGATCATGCTCCTCTCCCGGGAAGGTGTGGCTTGAGCAGAAGTAAACGCAGTTAAATAGAGCTGCAGCACCTGGGCACAGCAGCCCCCGTAAAAATGATCCCTTACATGCGGGGTGTCTTTCTTCCCTGCGGCCTGTGATTTATTTATTATTTTTTTTAATGTACACCTATCAGACCGACTGAGCAGGGCAGTGAAAAACTGGTACAAGACTGAATGAAGTAAGAAATTGGCACACACGTTTTCACTATGCATTTGCATTTCAAAGCAATACTTTATCTCACTCATAAGGCAAATGCTATTCAGGGTGACAAACAGCATAGCAAACCAAAGCACCAATTAAAGACAATAAAAAGCACTTTAACTCAGCGTTATCAAACAGCCTGCATGCAACCAAACTCATTTTCAAGGCAAACTGGAGGACAATGACACATACGACTGCATAACACAGGAACAATGCAATCCTGATCACTGGGCTATAGATCTACTTAAAGTCAGCTGTTGGCAGGTTCTGAAGGAAAAAATAAATATGAAAGATGGAAATCAGCTAGTTTGTAATGACCACCATTGGAGTTTGACGTATTTAACAATGACTATTCAACATATCTGAACCATTTACACAAAATTTAGCTACACTTCAGAGTTGTATTAATATCTGTTATTTGCTTCAATGGAGAGAAACAGATGTGCTTTTATATTTTATCTGAAAATGCATACTTTGAAGAAACCCATCATTTATACATTATTTAATGCTTCACAGACATAAAATGTTCTTTTAATTAAGAATTAAAATTTGCTTATATTATGCAATGGGGCCACACAGCTAAATATGTAATACTTGCTGAAATGTCATAAAATGCTCAATGTATCTGCCTGCTGCTTCTGTTAATGGCCCAGCTTAAAGCAGGAAACATACAGGCCTCCCGCCACAATTTGCGTACCCTGAACTAAAAATAAAGGCTGAGGGGGAGTGTGGAGGTGCTTGTAACAATCAACCAATTAAAATGACTTCTAGAGACCTGTGTCACAACATCTGCATCATGCAAGCTTAAGATAAACTTAATCGTATGTTTTTAAAAGGTAATTCCAAAACGTAATTACAAAATAACTTCTACATTCAGCGACGACGCGATATAGCTCTGTAAAGTAACATAAGTGTAACCTGGGTTATGGTTCTTTGGTTATTTTTTCCCCCTCCACCAAATGTCATTCTAAATGTCAAAAGTATCACTTCTTTATGAAACAGCTTTAAATGGAAACTCCCAGCTTTCCATTAGGCAAAGGCCCCATCGATTCATGATGGATTCAAGGCCATATCAGCCGAGGCAGCAGCCTTGCAGAGGTGTGAACCGCTTGCCGAGGAGGCCTCTGCACCAGCATTTTCTCAGTGTCAGTAGAACAGCTGGTGACCTTGCACAGCATCAGGCACTTCGATCTCAGACCAGGTTTAAAACATATAAGCTGAGGCAAGCCTTAACCCTTCCGGCAGAAGGTCTGCTAACTGAAACCAAGGGCAAAATAAAGATAACCTTCTCCTCTTCATAATACCACAATGTTTTCTACAAAAAGACACCAAGCACTCCAGCAAAAAATGTTCTAGTCAGAACAATAACAAAAAAATAAAACTAACAATTTCTAAGCCCAGCATATTTACAGCACAAACAGCCTTGATTGAGCATTTACAAACATTAAAGTTGGTATACAATCAATATAATGAACAGGTAATCTACCTTTAAAAGTCTGTTTTTAAAGAAAGTTAAATGAGACGTAATGCAGTTTATTTGTTGTTGGATATTTATTTGGCAATGATACCTTTTGATCCTAAAACCAAACAGAGTTTGCTAGCAGTTAATAACAACAATGAAATGTACCTTTTTATGTCGGAGCGGAAGCTGATCCTCCCCAAAGTGGTTCTCCACTGCGTTAGCCATGTCTCTATTGGACAGCTTGGGAATTTTCATCTTCTTCTGCATAATACTGTGTTCGAACTCCTCTATATTTTCTGCAAAGCACAGGAGTGAATGTTAGGCACATAGAGGAGAATACAGGCACCTACAGTACTTTGACATAAACATGTCAGAAAGGATAGATTTTTGATTGTGTGATAGAATCAGATCAAATACAGGAACCACCAGTTCCTGCCTTGGGAGTAACACAAAATCAGCAAAAGTGTCTCTTTTTTTTATCTACTAAATGAGATGACCTAGGGCAGCAATTTATAGAACTGAGGATGAAAATAGCTTATTGACATAAAATGTAAAGACTGGAGTCCTACAGGCACAGGTATGGGGACTGTTAGCCAGTCTTGGTGGTTTAAATCTGGCCCTATCCTTGTGAGTGTAATGCCAGCATGTTTTCTGCAGATTTGTACAGGTCCTCTCAAGGTATTGCAGGATTTCCTGCTTGTTTAGGCAAGTGGTTAATTTTCTTTTTATGGCTTTTTGCATGGCTAGATTTAGCTTGAGTAAAATCAAAGTTCTCTGATGTTTGGGTGGATGCTCCCCAAAACTATGGATATTTTGAATGACACGACAGCAGACAAACTGGAAGAATAAAAAAATTAACTCACTCTTAGCTGTTCTCAGTCTGTGTCAACAAGAGATGCCTTTTAAATTCCCATAGGAATTTAGATAAACTGCATGATAGACTTTTAGAGTATTTTGTTTTTTGTGACTGATGCACTGGTCTATTTTCTGAATTGTGGTTAAGTTGCTCAAGTGACTTTGGTAATTAGGTAATTCACCACTTCTCCATGGTCTCTATAGTGAAAAGAGTACTGTACCTTAAAGTCTTATCCAAATTAAAAGTGGTACTCATCCAGTTCTTTTAGGGGAATAACTGAACTATTGTACTGTTCCAACCCAGCTTCAGCAAGTCTAATGTTAAGACATTGATCTCTCAGAGTTTGTAAACAAATGTAAAGCAAACAGCTTGCGTGATATTTTGAAACAAACTATTAAGCTAAACACCAACTGGTTCAGTATTTCCTGATGCAATATACTACCTATTAAGAGTTGATAGAAATGCAACAGTCTGTGATAACTGACAAATGTTATGACAATTAGCAATAAAATGATTAAACTGACGTTTTACTACTCTACTACATTCTAAATACTAGTTCTATACAATTTTTTTTTTCCAAACAACAAAGCGTGTCTTGTGTAACAAATGCTGGTACATAGGACAGCACAAATGTTCCTGTTTTTTTAATCCAAAATAGTTTAACAACATTTATACTGTCAGATTTAATCTACCTTTTACAACTGGCTTAACAGCCATGCAGCTGAGCAACTGAAATGCAGCAACTTAATTGCTACAAAAGTTTGTTGTTGTATGCATCCATGTTATTTATTCTAATTTAAACATCTGATCATGGTAAGAGATCGGCTTAAACATCATTTATTAGCTATTTAACACAAAATAATAATTACTGAAGTTATCAATGTATATTGTGTTCTCTTTGAAATGTTTATTTTAGTGTAATATATCCTGATACACTGAACAATGCAGTGTTCACAAGAGCAGTTCAGCAAATCTCAGTTTTACAAGAGCATGTTACTCACAGCTAACAGCGTAATAGTGCTGTGCTGCTCCGGTAATATCAAGATACACAAAAGTTTGTCTACAGAACGCATAATCAAGAAACATTCCAATAAAGCAATTGCTATTAAATCATTCCTACAAAAAAACAAACCTGCAAACATATTTCACAAACATCTCAAAACAATAAAATATACGTAAAAGGAAATATTAAGATATTTGCAAATGTTAGTTTCCGTCAATCCGTTTCCCAATTACACTCTGGTAAAGTTTATTTGGACTGACAACAAAACATCAGTCTAATAGATATTAACGTTTATATTACGACACAAATGAAAATAACACGAGTTATGGACAGAGAGAATTATTTCCTGTGCTTTTTATGAAGTGAATCACTGAGGCCCTGCACTTTGCTGTTTGTTTGTGGCGTAACTCCACATCAAACCAGTGTTTCCCGGCTGGATAGCGGGCTGCTGTCAGTCATTACAGGTGGGGGGGTATTCCTTCCAGCCAACTAACCTAGTGCTTCAGGTTGAAGGCCCAGCTATTTATATTAAATTTAATTTTAACCTGGTTACCTTACTGGGTATATTTTAAAGGGTACCAGGGGAAAAGCCCCTTTGCGGGCACACTTCGTGTGTTTTGACGCACAGTGACACGGTATTAGAAAGGCGCGTTAAATGTTAAGTTCGAACGATTAACAATCAATTTTCAAGTAGACACTTCGGTGCTTCTTAATGTCCGGGAAGGTGCATTGCGGACGTCTAATAAAGCTTTAGACACATTTGCGCACACACCATTGCGCTGTCACGCTTGTTTAACACAGCACATTAAAACTTTACAACGTCTTACACACCACCACCATTATTTTAATAAAACCTGCTGTCGTTTTAATAAAATATAGCGCCGTTTATAGATGCAGTGCATCGCCGGGCCCATGAACACACTTGGTGTGTCCAAGTTAGCCGGCTAGTTAGCGAGGTACTCACCTACCTGCTAACCGGCTAGCGTATGGGCTAACCCCGGCAGGATGGTAAAAATGAAAGGCCGGGGGAGACAGAGAGTGAAACCGAACCAAAATTAATCAGTGAGGGTTCGAGTCGCCCGGTCGGACATTAGCTTGACATGCTAGACTTGCCGTGCCCAGCCTAAGCGCATCATGTTATCCGCTTTCACACAAACCGACGGTGGGCTGCTGTCTGTAGGCTAATAGGGCGGCGGGCTCACCTGCCAGGGCGAGGATCTGCGCCTTGCCGGGCCCGCCCGTTCCTGTGCCGCTGGCCTCGGATCTGTGCACCACATACACCTTCTGGTTGTCGAAATCCGCTTTGTGCACGGGTCTGAAGTCCTTCACGCTGGAGACCGGCAGGGCGTAGCACAGGTCGTCTTCCAGAAACCTCACGAAGGCGTACATCATTCCCACCTCGGCCCCGCGCTTCGGACGCGCTTAATACTTTTCCCCCTCCGTTTAAAAATAAAAAATGTAAACACACACACAAAAGGGGAATGGGGGAAAAAGGCCTCTGCGCTCGGCTACTCTGGCCTTGTCTACATCGCTCCAGATGAGGTGCGCAGCTTCTACACTCTCAACTCCCCCCCCGAGCCTGCCAACTCCGTGCAAGACTAGAGTAATCGACAATAGAAATGCTGATCGTCAGTGCCAAGATCAACCAGTTAACCTGGTCATATTTGTCAGACACATCGTGAGTATTCAGACACGAATGACCATTGTTTAGTAGTAAGGTTTACTGACAATCACAACGTTATTAGTAAGTGTGCTGAAGAAGTTGACCTTGCCTAACCAGTTATTAGTTACTCCCTGCTTCTCCCACTTTCGGTTACCGCATCAGAATCTTGCTGATCACATGAATGCACTTCACAATCTTTGCATCGGAGAGACATGCTACAATTCTGCTTGCTGTTTTTAAAAAAGCTGCGTTTTTATAGGAATGACTTTTATTGTGGTGGTTGCACCCTCAGTAGATATCCCACTGAAACCAATGCATCTTAACAGGTTGGATTCACCGGGAGTTTACTGGTCTTTTTTCCCTCAGTCTCTGATGGAAGGTAATTATTAGCACAGACATAGACAACCAACATTCCATTTTAAAGTAGCAGGCTAGCATACTGTAATGGCTAGCATAAAGTAATATACTGATTACTAACGTCTGGGCGGCATAAAATACTTCATTAATATTTTAGGAGAACTATTAATCTGCTTAAATTGTGGGCGTAAATAAACGTCCGTATATTACCGAAAAACTGGCGGCTGGGCAAATGTTGTGCCCTGGTGATTATTGCGCATGCGCGATATAATATCGACATAATATCGCACAGCCCTAATTTTAATATAAATGTTCACTGTCAGTTTTCATTTGTTTGTGGTGGAACATCACTTGCAGTTTGCGATTCAGCAGGACAATGGATAAAGCTGTGGTTTCACCTATGTGGTCATGGGTTTGATTTCTGCTGTGTATGAATTTTGCTTTTTCTTGTATTTGTAGGTCTCCCCTCACATCTAAAGACATGAGGTTTATGTGGATTCGTGTCTTTTAATTGTGTCCTTCACAGAGCATAATGACACATTATGGGCAATTCAGAGATACCAGTTAATCTTGCTATTAGGAGTGTAACAGTAGGTATTCCTACCGAAAATTTTCGGTATGGGTTTTTCGGATTGGTACGTATATGTACTGAATGAACGAAGCAAATGCGTAACCTTTCTGCATTTGTGTTTCCCTGAGCAACATTTAGAAGGGGCAGATGAAGCTGCGCCAATAGACGTGCATAGTTTCAGTATTTGTATGTACAGTTAATTTTTGAAATGTGCGTTTTAATTGATATTTTATTTTTATTTCTTTGATAGAATATTTTTATTTAAATTTTTTCTTTTTATTAGTATGTTGCAGCAGTATTGAGACTCGTTAAAGAAATACGTTGTTTAGTAAACCACTGTTTATTAATGAAAAAAAAAGCAATTTATGTTTTGTTTCTTTTACCCTTGCTGTACTGAAACCGTAATGAACCGTGACTTGAAAATCAACGTACATACTGAACCGTGATTTATGTGTACTGTTGCACCCCTACTCGCTACACGTGTTTTGGCTGTGGAAGAAAACCACCAACCTCCAGCCTTAGAAGAAAGATATAATAATACTACAGACTAAGCTCCAATGCTACCCAAATAAAAAGAATAAGCCTCTGAATTTCATTGCAATGCTTGAAAGATCATTAAAACACACTTCTTAAGTGAATGAAGAAGTAAAGGAATATATATTTAGTGTGTGTACAGACACACACACACACACACACACACACACCTGTACTCATACCTTTGTGGGCACTGTACACACATTTATTTCTATGGTCAACAACGACCATTTTAACCCCTACCCAGCCCTAACCTTAACCATAAGTAACCAAACAAAATACAATTGTTTTGGCATGTTTCATTTTTTATATTACAGTCACAGATTTGTATAAAATTGAATTTCCCTTTGTGGGGACAGAAAAAAATGGTCCTCACAACATCAAGATGACTGGTTTTTATCACATTGTGGGGACGTTTGGTCCCCACGATATAATCTCTCTCTCTCACACACACACACACACACACACACACACACACACACAC